CTAAAAAATGACAAAATCATGGAATTTGCAGGGAAATGGATGGCACTAGAGCAGATTATGCTCAGTGAAGCTAGCCAATCCCTAAAAAACAAATACCAAATGTCTTCTTTGATATAATGAGAGCAACTAAGAATAGAGCAGGGAGGAAGAGCAGGAAGATTGACATTAAACAGAGACATGAGATGGGAGGGAAAGCGAGAGAAAAGGGGAATTGCATGGAAATGGAAAGAGATCCTCATTGTTATAAAAAACTACATAAAAGAGGTTGTGAGGGGAATTGGAAGAAAAAACAAGGAGAGAAATGAATTACAGTAGATGGGATAGAAAAAGAAGATGGGGGGGAAGGGGATAGAAGAGGATAATCGATGTGATTCTGCAATCTGTATTTGGGGTAAAAATGGGAGTTCATAACTCACTTGAAACTAATGTTTGAAACATGATATGTCAAGAGCTCTGTAAGGTTTTGAACAACCAATAAAAAAAAAAAATTTAAATAGAAAAAAAAAAAAGGTAAAATTCTGATTAATCACTTACCACCAAGATTTTTCATCAATCTAGAAGTGTCATGTCCCTTTTGAGCCAATTCTCGGATTCTCTGTTCTTGTTTTTGTCTGTGTGCCAACTCCTGTGCTCTCTGCATTGTTTGGAATAGCTCATTGGTCTTGAGAGTCATGATTTCCTATTGATATTGACATATAAATTCTTAAAATTATCAATCTTGTAAAAATTATTCTCTCAGTTAATATATTTCCTAAGCTTTTTTGAGCTTATATAAAAATATAAAAACTTTTTAGCCATTTCACCTTTCCAAAGTTTTAAAAACACTTCTGTTAAAATTGAAAATGAATACTAAAAGGTAAAACAGTATTTGAAGGCACTTGCAGTGAAGCAAATGATACTTTTTCTCAAGGTTAGCTGCCTCAGGCTATTCATGCTAATGAAAACAGAACCCTACTGGCCAACTTTGGAGTGAAGGATGAAAACATATATATAAATAAATGAATAAAATAAAGATTCATCAACATCTAAATAAAATTTTTAAAAAAATAGGATTGGGGAGATGGCTCAGTACCACCCCCACCAAAAAAAAGCAAGGGAGGAGACAGTTTAGTGACAGAGTGCTTGCCTTACCTAGCATGCTTAAGGTCCCAAGTTCAATTCCTAACACTGAAAAAGAAAAATCTACAAAAGAATGGATAATGCACTGCTATATGCTCACAAACAGAACACTACATAGCAATAAAAAAATAAAACCTTAAGTCCCTTTTTTCTTTAAAGATGTCTCCACACATAGCTTTACACTTCCACACACTAATGTTCAAATTCTGTTATTTTTCCTCTAAAAAACATTTTTATTCTAAAATGTCAAAGAGTTTAAATATAAATATGTACTTCTTTCTTTTTTTGCTTAAGTATGTCTTCTTCATACTGTTTCTGCATCTCTTCTCGTTCCCGTGCCAAGCGACGCTCTTCTTCTTGTTCTTCCTTCTTTCTTTGCTCTTCTTCCAGCTGCTTCTTCCTGCGCTTCTCTTCTACCTGAGCAGTGATTGCTTTCTAGTCATAAAATCACATTAATTACTGCCATGAATAAAAATCCATATTTCATATATTTTGGTAACTCAATAAACTTTATCCATACTGATGCAGAAAATATTATATATGAGTCAGATTAAAATGTTAAAATTTGTAATGTGTTTCTCCCATCTTCCACTTGTCCAGTCAAGCTCTATGTAATTACTTTTTCTTCATTCCCAGGAGGGCTATTTGAAGATAGAAAAAACTGAAGATATAAACTCAGTACTGCAGATACTGCCTGGTAAATGGCAGAAGCTATATAAACTGTTCAGTGAACCAAGTAAAAATAAGAACAGCTACACCAAATCATTCAAGTATCAAAGGTATGGCACCTACACTCTCAACTATTCAGGAGCCTGAGGCAAGAGAATCACTTATGGGCTTGTCAACCTGGGCAACACAGCAAGACCCATCTCAACAACGAATTGGAAAAAAAGTTCTGATTTAAGGAAAATTATTCAGACACTTAAACACTTTATAGACTAAAACTGAAAGTTTTGTACATGCACATATTCTAACAATATAATTTGGCCAAAATCACTCCTCAGCATTTTTTTCCCTCCCTCCCATTAGTTCCTTTTCCTCTACTGATCTCCTTTGATTTTCATGAGATGGCCTCCAACCCATGCACCTTTTCCTTTTTCCTGTCTACCTTTTCCACATGAGAGAAACCTGGAAGAGTTTTAACCTTTTATCTGCCAGGTTTCTGAATCATAATTCTACTTCAGTTGCCCAGATGGTTCCCTTTCAAAGAAACCAATAACTAATTCTCAGCCTGAACAGGACTCTGGGGAAATAAATTGAAAAAATATCCAAGACTAACCCAAGACAGTACAAAGTCTTAACTTACATCCTAAGAGCCTTCTCTACTACGAGACATGTACCTGGCTGTAGTGTGACTGGTTCTCAGCATAAACTTAATTCTCCAACTTCATGTCAGTTGAGGTAAGGGATTCTTCACAGGTTGGAATAGGATCTGTACGCTATGCTTATACCAGAATTTTAGCTTCCAGCTACTTAGGTGTATGTTGGTTATACTAGTACTTATTAAGGCAAACAATATTTTGCAATGCAATACCTGATGTTCTAACTGTTTTTGTCGCCGTCTGTCCCGTTCCTCAATCTGTGCTGGGTCCAAGAGAGCAGTCATAGAACGAAGGAAGCTGATAAGATATATACATTAGCTATTCAGAACCCCAAAAAAGTAGTTTCCATAGCCTACATCATTTTTGCTTGAAAAGAATATATATATCAAACCTGAAACGAATTTAAGACATATTAATACTCCAAATAAAACACATTTTCATAAAAATCAATAAATTCTGAAGAACAAACTTACTTTGTTTTCTGATTGTTTGCCTCAGCCACATCCCTAAGAGGTTTTGCTATGTGCTCTTCTTCTGAAGTTTCGAACTGGCTTCCAGTTGTAGGTGTATAAACACTACTGACATCAGCCAGCTCCTGAGTATCAGGAGAGACACAGAAGTACTCTGGTTGTTTCTGTGTTGACCGAGAGGAGAGCTGAGACCGAGAACCAGGATGACTCTTTAGTGAATCAAAATGCATTGCCCATCTGTCATGTTCCTCACCCTAATTGTGACAAACAAGAACTGCTGAGAATTTTCCCAATTTTTTCAACATAAATTCCTAAATGACATCCAAACATGAGATTTCCAAAAATCACTAACCAAAATAAACATAAAAATTAACAAAGTTGTATTGTTTTGATGCCTTATACATGGAAAGCAAATGAGAAATTCAAAAAATCAGGAAATTTATAAGAAGCTACGCAAAATCACATTAGACACATTCAATCAACCCAGGTTCACATGAGCAAACGCAGAATTTAAATACTCTGGTCTTATCAAGTAATTTCAGGATACTTGTAACTTAATATGATTAAAGACTTCAAAATTAAWTTTTTCCTTATAGCTATAAAAACTTAAGGTACCTTTGAAAATATAATTTTTTCCTCTGTTTTCCTTTGCTGGTCATCTTCTACTTGTTTATTCAACTCTTCAATCCATTTTCTCTGTTCTTGTTTCACAGCACCAAAAGGATGCTCCAGCAGCATTGCTTCCTAAACAATCATCAAACCAACTAATAAAGTTCAATTCTCTTTTCTGAYTACTTTATAATAATTTGCCAAAATTATTTATATAGTTGAACCCAGTCAGGCATTTCTCGCTAAGATTTTGACTATATTATTAAGTAGTTATCTTCCAATTCTCAAAACCAAATTTTAAACATCATACTAGAAGGATATGACATCTAAATATAAGTCAAGGAAACCTTTAATTCTCTACTTAAGCTTTTTATATAAGAATATACCTTTGGGAAAAGAACACTCCTTGATGACTCTGCCCTTGTCCAGAAAGCCCTTATTGTTATTTCATGATTGCCAAGTCCTTCCCATTCTTATCTACCATATCTTCCTCAAGTATTTTTTACCAAATTTTAATTATTGGGTTGTTTATTAATTATTGGATTTTGAGAGTTAATCTTACTAGAGCATGGTGACTTTTATTCCACAACTGGAGGACCCAATTTCCATGTGGAGAAGTCAGATGGAAAAAAAAATCAGAGAAATGCTTTAAAAATCACCCCACTATGACAGCATCACAAATTATAAAAGGGCAAGTTTTCGAGCAGAACAACAATGGATTTAAAAAATTTCCCAACTTACAAAACGTGCACTGATCTTAGCCATGACTTTTTCATGCATTACTGAATTTTACCTACTAATATTTTAAGAATTGTTTGTATATTTATGAATGGAATAAAACTAATTTTCCATTTTTTTTTTTGTTTTTTTCCTGGACTTGTCAAGGTTACACTGGTTTTGTACAATGAATCAGATATTCCTTTTTTCTATTACTGCCTGAGTGTCTGTATAAATTTGAAATTTATTCTTCTAAAATTTGGTAGAAACTGGCAGCAAAACCACGTGAGTATATGTTGTTTCCCTTGTGAGAAAAAGCTTTTAACCAGAGCTACATTTACCTATCCTGTTACAGGACTCGATTTCTGCTTCTAAGACTGCTTTTGTTATATTTTTCCAGAACTTTGTCCACTTATTTCATTCATAGGTACTCTTATTTTTATTATTTATATCTTCTAATTTAGATTTATTCTTGTTCTTTTTCTAGATGGGCACCTCGCTTATTGATTTAAAGGTTTCTTTTTTTTCTGAAAGGAAGCTTCCTGAATTCTACCCTTTAACACCTCATATTTTGATATGTGTRTGTGTTTCAAGTACTGTAGTTGTGTTTTCCATTATGATTTTAGTATTTAGTAGTATGACTGTTAATTCCCAAATATGCAGAAGTTAAAGCTGTCTATGTAAGAACTATTTAACATTAAACAGAGTCTATCACTTCTCAGCCTTCTGAATAATATCAAATGTAATTTGAGTCTAATGGTGATATAGATGAACCTTAACTGAGTTAAAATCAGTTAAGTCAATAACCTAGTATCACAACTGTCTGTAAATGATTATTCAGTAAATTCAGTAGTTAACTATGATGGAAAGCAGGTTGATCTGAAGGTAGAAAGTTCCAGGCATTATTAGTTAAATCACACTATTTTCTAACCTTCAGAACAACTCCTAAAGTCAGGGCTTCCTTCTTTGGTAGTACTCTTTAAATGACCAGGCCTGTAAATTTAGTGGTGATAGTGGTCCCCAAATGATTTTCCCAATTCCTGGAATGAGATTCAAGTGAGCACTGTCCAAGATTTTCTTCCTAGAGGACAGCTAAAAACAATGATTTGAATTATAATAAATGTAAGGTGAGGCGTTATTTAAGACAATGGCACTGGGGTGGGAGGAAGCAGGTTAGCAGGGATAGAACTCCAACAATTTTACTTTATTCTCCCATAGATAGTCCTGGTTTGCTTCCACTCCATGCCACCAACCAACCCAACACACCAAAAATACTGCTCCCTTCAGTTTCTTCAATATCTTAGGGATTGATGTTAGAGAATGCTATCAGCAGTTTGCATCAGAACTCCATATGCTGAGATCATGAGATTTCAGCACATGTGCATTTAGATAAAGCTTGCTTTATTTACTGTCAACATTTTCTGATTTGTTTTTTATTTTATAACAAATTCTATAAACTATAATTGTTGAGAGCCACAGCCAAAGGGGCCCCAGCAAACTTCCAGCTGCTGGCTGATGATTGGCTCACAGCGGCCCCAGCAACATCTAGCTGATTGGCTCCTCTGCGGTGATGTTCATTGGGCTGTTTCCCCGCCCTTCAGACTGC